AGAATCAACCCACCATCCATCAACACTCTCAACCATGTTTATGTCAGTAATCACCGCCACAAAAGGTTCTTCGGTAACGTTTGCCTGAGGGTTAGGACCATGTTTTCGGAATCTGCAAAATCGAGCAATATGCCCACTCTTGCCACAAACAAAGCATTGTCCCTTATCTTGAACTTGTTGATTTTGTGCTTGGTTATTTTCACCATTATTTTTCTTGGAAGGTCTACCATTATTTTTCTTAAATTTTTTCTTCTTAGGCTTCAAAGAAGTATTTTTGTGAGTTTCAAGAGTAGCATTATTTGAAGTAATTAAACTTACCTTCGTTGTGATGTTGCTCTCTTCGTTTTGTAAAAGTACATCTTGGCCCTTTGCCTCTTCATCATCGTACTTTTCCACTTTCTCATGATGAGAAATAAGTTTATCATCATCCATGGAGGTGTCATCAGCTTTATTAGGATTCTTCTCAGTTAACACATAAGAAACATTGAGAAGACTTGAGTAGAAAAGTACTTTACCCTTCCATCTTTTAAAATGGTTACCATTGAACCGAAATGGCTTGTTAAGGTCTCCCATCTTGACATCCGCATTTTTTTCAATTGTAGCCATGCTGAATTCTCCTTAAAATTGTTAGTGAAAAACTTACAAGATAATAAAAAATACAAAATTACAATTGAAAATAAATATGAAGAAAATAAATCTCTTCAGGCTGAGGCGCGGATATCTCACTCTCTTTAAGGAGATTCAAGCCCACTGCAGCAAATGTTTTCACCGGTCCAGCAGTAGTCCTTCTTGACTTGTCCTCTCCAGGATACAACAGCCTAATCACAATATATAACTCAACAACTCTGGACAAGAGTTGAGTCCAATGCTCCACAAAAAAGAACACCTCCCTTCAACTAATAAGAACTCTCTTTTTTAACAAACTTTATGCACTCTATATTTTCCTTGTGTGTTGTGTGTTTCTCAAACCAAATGAAGACCACCACTATTTATACTAGAAGAAGTCTTCCTAGCAATGAATAGGAAGATAATGGTGTAGTAAATAGTGAAGATAATGGTCTTAGGAATTACCTAGGTTACAAGATGTAATGAAGAAATAAAGAGTAACAATTAATGTGGGCAACAAATGCCCCTCAACGTGTAAGTGCAACTCAACGGACAAAAGTCAATGTGTGCATTCTCTAACTGCCAATGAAGAAGCAGTAAAGAAATGTCCACCAACGGCAGCAATGAATAGAGGCACTAACTTCTGAATCAACATTCTTGTAACTCCAAATAAAGCAAATTAATATATTAAGATATTAATATTAAAATGCTAATAAATCAACAATCTCCCACTCATTTTAATATTAGATAAGAGAGTCCATCAGCAATGATATGATGATTATTTGGTTTTAAATGCATGAGATAATGACTTTTGTTTTGATTATCTAATAATTAAGAACCCTTTGAAACTGAAATAAATTTATTATTAAACGTTTGTTGTCCAAACAATACTAAATTCAAGTCTCATTTTACCACATCACCTTACGTGAATATTCTGTTTGCTTTCTCTTTACTGGTTTAAGACCATAAACTAAAGTATTTTGGTTTCTCATTAGTCATTTATTTCAATAGTACTCAATAGCAGGGGCGGCTCAATAGATCTCATGGCCTAAGGCAAAATTATATTAAAAGTCTCTTAAATTTATTTTATAAAATTTATACATTAACAAAAAAAATTATTTTCTACACAATAGATTAATCATTTAAAACATAGAATAACAAATTTCTCACACACACACCACAAAAAAAGGGAAGAAGAGTACAAAAAATGAAATGGTGGATTATTCATGTTAAGCCTCAAAACTCAAACTGAAATTTTAATTTGGCTATCATCACAAATAAGAAAAAGAAAAGAACATACATAACATAATAGTTGAAGTTTTGAGCATGAATAGTAACAAAAATATATACACCTTCTCATCAAATTTCTGATCAATTTAAATGATTGAACTCTTTTTAAATGATATAATTCATTCCATTAAGTAGCATTCATTGGTGAATATCTAAATTAAGTGATAAGATTTTCATATGATATATTAAATTAAAATGAAAAGGAAACTTGTGTAGGAATGCTTTTATGTTCACACAGTTTAAGAAAAAATTGAAAAAAAAATCATTATGTTATCTATATATATAACTTAGTTCCTATATAAATAGGATAAAATTTAAAATTCAAAGTTAAGACAAATATCTCAAATAATGAGCGAAAAAATTATGAGAATTTATGAATTTATTGGTATAAAATACTCTCAAGCAAATAATAATAAAAAATATACAATAACAATTTTATTTATATAAATTATATAATATATAACAGAATTAATATAATAATTTAATTAAATTTGGGGCATTCAAATTTTTGGGGCCTAATGCAATGGCCTCACTGCCCAAGCCTTAGAGCCGCCCCTGCTCATTATCAATAATATTGTTACTAATTGTTTCTTAGAAAAATTACACGAGGCAAACATGTGATATGTATTTATGATAAATCACTATAGTTTAAAATAATTATAATTCGTAGCTATAGGTAGGATTGTATAGAAAATTCATTATCCTCTCTCCCTTGCCTCCTTCCTCCCACTATCCTCTTCCCCCCCCCCCCCCCCCCTCCCTTTGTCCATCCCAAAACAACTGTAGCCCAAAAAGACACTCCACATAATGTGACACTTGTATTTTATATTATGTATCAAATGTATTTGTATTATGTATCAATTGTATACATATTTTGTATCAATTGTATTATGACAATTTGTATTCTGTCAATTGTATTCATCGATACAAATTTTGTTCGTTAACACGATTGATACAATTATATTCGATATATGATACAAATTAATTGTATCAATTGTATTTGTGATAAAAACTTGATATAGCGAAACAATATGCGTCCATTCTCTCTGTCAAAGGTGTTATGTATCAATTGTATTCGATCAAATATAGGTGAGAGATTTGTATTTTATATCAATTGTATTTAGACAACTATATTTATATTTTGTATTAACTATATTTGTATTTTGTATCAATTGTATTTGTGATACAACGAATACAACATCTATTCATCCTCTCTTGATCTCGCTCACCTCTATCCTTCCTCTACCGATATCGTCCGCCTCTCTCCTCCCTCTCTCGATCTCGCTCGCCTCTCTCCTCCTTCTCTCGATCTCACTCGTCTCTCTCCTCTCTCCTCCTTCTCTCGATCTCACTCGTCTCTCTCCTCTCTCCTCCTTCTCTCGATCTCGCTCGCCTCGCCTCTCTCCTCCCTCTCTCGACCTCGCTCGCCTCTCTCCTCATATGTGGCTAAATATAATAGTTTTGATACAATTGTCTTTATTTTGATACAAATCAGTTGTATCAATTGTATTCGTGATACAACCTAATACAACGAATACAACAGGTATTCAACCCCTCTCTCGAGATCTCGCTTGCCTCTCTCCTCCCTCTCCTAGTCTCAATCGCCTCTCTTCTCCCCCAAACATGTAGATATAATTTGTAATTATGCAAAGTATTACTATAGAACTATAATTAAGCTTCAAACTATAGTCATTTTTGAAAGTTTCCTTATTTCTTCTCTATCTCTCGCTTAAAGTTGCCCGCGGAGTTCACTGGACTCTTTCATTCTCTTTTATGATATCTCTAGTTGGGACAGAGCCCAACATAACATTATCATAGAGTCCGCCGGCCAAGACATTTTCTTGACACACGAAGAGAAATAGGTTTAGAATATAATTGCAAATATTAGATTTTCGGCCCAAGGCTTAAAACATTTTCTTACCCTTAAGTCTTTTTTATGTATATTTTTGTATTACTTAACATTCTATTTGGTTAAATTTGTATTTAACTTAGTGGAATTCTCAAATGAGCACCGCACCAAAAATGATTTTTAGTAACATTAATTAACGGTAATAGCTTAATTGTTGTTAAGTATGTTCTTTTAGAGGCAATTAGCACTCTTTAGAAATGTCTCTAAAGCTTATAGCGTGGATCCAATGGAAATTAAGTAATGCCGGTAAAGACTTTAGCACTCTTTGTTAATGTGCATATTTTATTGCTGCTAAAAGTTGTTTTTGTTGCCGGGAAGAAGTTCATTTATCAGACGATCTTCTTTATTATTTCCTTTTACTTTTCTCTTGGTGTTAAATCACATGAAATAAGTTGGCAGGGATTTCAAACAATTTTATCATCTTATGATAATATGGATTCAGAATAAGTATTTCAATCCGTGAGAAATTTAAACTTAATAAATTTAAGTGTCCAATTTAATTTGGCTTTGGTATTAATTTAACTTGATTCCTTTTTCGAATGCCTAAGTTCTTTTAAGAACCAATAAATTTGTTAAGATTTTTTGTGTAAGTTTGTTTAGCCCTACATTGTTTCAAAATTCGTAAATGTCTAATCTCTTCTTTGAAAATTCACTTGAAAATAATTTTCAAAATTTTCTTAAAACTAAGTGACAATTCTTCTTTTGTTTTTTAAAATAATTGCTAGTTATGAAGTTTTGATTAAGTTCAAAATATATAGTAATACTCATAATGGTCTAGTACTCTTGGATCAAGGTCATTCTATAAAAGGTGTAGCCATGTACAAATAAATGCAACAAAAAATAGAGTTTCAAATAGCTAAAGTTCATTTTCAATTTTTTTACACATACTGCTACAAGCAAAAGGACACTTATTGGACATCCAATTACAACAAAGGGACAAGTAAGAAGAAAAATTGGTCATGATATTCCTGATGGAGTTGATCGAGTTTCATTCTTTCTGACATCAATTATTACACAAAGCAGCATCAAGCAAATGTAACAGGAAAATAGAACAATAAAGTAGGAGACATTCAATTCAACATTAAATTAGAGGATTAGAGTACATATATTTCATGACCAATTAATAATCCTAATATTCATAGAGCATAAAATTAAGTGAAGACAAATTAATTAAGCATCCATAGTATCTATAAACCTAAGAATTAAGGAGCATTTCCAATTCCTTAGCAACTTGATCAATCTCTTCATCTCCTTTGGAACGAATAATTCCCTTCATATGATTCGCCTTTTCCCTTACGAGTTCACCACCCTCCTCCACCACCACGTGGTTGATCACATCCGCGATTTCCTTCCAATGAAGCTTTCCCTCCCCGTCCCTCACAACTTCCACAGCCATGCCCACCTCTTCAACAATAAGCCTAGAATTCATTGGTTGATCAAGATGCATGGGCATGGCAATGATTGGAACCCCGTATTTCATGCTTTCCATTACTGAACTCCATCCACAATGACTCACAAAGCCACCAATACTCGAATGCTCCAATATTTTTGCTTGTGGGGCCCACCCTTTGAAAACCCTTCCTCTATCCCCTACCCTATTGACAAAACCTTTAGGTAATGCCTCTTCAATTTCAACCTCCTCTTTCGCGAACCTTAAAGGCCATATGAAATTCACCTTGCTACTTTCCAACCCATAAGCAATTTCTAACAAATCTTCATCAGACAAGAAGTATTCGCTTCCAAATGATACGAAAACAGTTGATCTCTTATCTTTTGTGTTTAACCATTTTATTAAATCTGAATTCGCATCATCAGAGGTAGGTTCTTGAACTAAAGGACCAACCGGTACAATTTTTTTCCCAGTTAAACTAGTGATATAATTACTATACTTTCCTTCAATCTCATTAAAGCTTTTTATCAAAACAATATGGTTAGAAAGAACAAAGCTTTGTCCAACTCGATTCTTATCTGCCTCAATCTTTTCAACAGGTATAACTGCTTTTGATCTCTCTATACTAACCATCTCATAATCGCGATAATAAATAGTAGAAGAGAAAGGAAACTCAATACCTTTAGGCTTCTTCAACAAGTCATGCCACATATAAGCAGTCATAGTGGAGCTACTACTAATAAACTCAACCGCGGGGATATTGAGTTGAGAAGCAGCCAATGGAGCCCATGGCTGAAGAAAATCATAAATGAGTAAATCGGGTTTGAGGGTTATCAAGATTTTGGTAAATTGAGGAGTTGATGAGTCAAAAGCTTGTTTGAGTGTGTCCATGAGATGGGGTGGGAGGCCATTAGTGGTATGTTGATGAGGACGGAGATTTGTTGTTAGCAAAGGGAGTTCCAATAGCTTGATTGATGATGATGAGTATTGTTTTTCCCTAATGGGAGTTAGGTTTGCCTTTGTAGAACACAAGTGGATAATGAAATTTCTTTGGCTAAGTTTGTTGGCCAACTCTAGGAATGGAGAGATATGTCCATAACCTAACCATGGGAACATTAGCACTGAAATGGGCTTCTCTTTCTTCATTACTTGGTAATTTTTTTTATAGATTAGTGGGAGAATGAATGGATATGGATGGTTCATGTCATATTTATACTTGATCATGATCAACATGATTCCTCTTATGGTACAAGGAAATATATGTGACCCCTTCCTTTTATAACATATATATATATATATATATTCACTACTATAAGTTATGTGTAGAAAAGGTAATTTCTCTATACAAATTTGATTGATAACTTTGAAAAAGGTAAGCAATCTTCTATATATAACATGCAAAATTGCTAGTAGTCTACGAGAAAATCTTTTCACTTCTAATATAAATAACTTCCATGATTAGAATAGTTTCTGAAAATTCATTGCATCAATGTAGTAGGAGTAGTTTGAGCAGATTGCATTAGAGAAAGAAAATGATATCCCCACACGGTAAGGTGTTGAATATAACATAGAGACCCAAGATCTTATAAATGATGTGGTTCAACCATCTATAAGTGGGAGTAGTGGCGTATATAGGATTTTTTAAAAGCGGTGTCAATCAGAAATAATAAATAAAATAATGTAATATCATATTAAAATAAATATATATAAATAAAACGCAATTCACATTGTGCACTAGACCTGACATATGTTTTGTCGTGAGTATGATTATCAGATTTCAATCTTACCTTAGACAAGAACACTGGAGAACAGTTAAACATATAATCAAGTACGTGAAAAGGACTAGAGATTACATGCTGACAATTGTTTTGTTGTAGCTAGGCATGATTAGCAATTTTTTTTTATCTAATCATTAAAGCATGCAATCAAGTACTTAAAAAGGACTGGAGATTACATGCTAGTCAACCATTAGAATGGGAATTGGTGTTGATAAGGTACACATGCACACTCAAATGTCCATTCTGACAAAGACTCCAAAAAGTCAACCTCATGGTTAATGTGTTCACTTTGGGAGAACAATCAAGCAAATATCATGTGTTGTTGATTTCACCATGAAAGTCGAGTATGTAGTAGCCTCTAAGGCGGCTAAAGAGGTAGTATGGCTCAAAAACATTTTAAAAGACTTGTTGGTTAACTCTGAGATGGAAGTGTCACTTACAATGTATTATGATAATAGGATGCGGTTGCAATGTATTATGAAATACAAGAAGGCAAAAACATTGAGCATAATCACCATTTGATTCTAGACATAATAATGCTGCATAGAGGAGACGTGGTGGTTGCGAAAATTGCATCGGAGTACAACCTGACAAACTCTTCCACGAAGGCTAGGCATGTAGAAGGAATATATGAGTGTTAAAGTTGTAGTTGCATGGTTATGAATCTAAGTAAGAGATTAATTGTTACGATATATTAATCATATGTTTTGATATACTATTATTTATTAAATTTTATTTATTTATTTAACTCAATATAGTGTTACATTAAATAGATTATTTTGTAATATATATCCTCGACTTATATAGCAAGAGTGTGTGAAATGGCAGAATGAATGGATATAGATGACATTGGTCATATATATATTTATACAAGTTAATGATCGACATGTTTCCTATTATGGAATGTGTTTTATGATTTTATCTAATGCACCTATGTACAAGGAAATATATATATCCTTTATTGTATTTCCTTCCCTTTTTGTTTTTAATTCTTTTTGTGGCTTTCTTCTTCTTTTTCCCAACATATATATACATAAATGTTATGTAAAAAAAAGGTAATTTCTCCGTACAATCGTTAACGGATAACTTTGAAAAAGTTAAGCAATCTTCTATGTTCTATAACATCCAAAATTGCTTCTAGTCTACGAAAATATTTTCACTCGTAATATAATATATATAACTTAAATTCCTTAAATATACTGATTAATTTGATAGGTATGGCAGTTATCGATGTGGTAATAAGAACCTCTAAGTACTTCTGATTCTTACTTAACGGAATGATTAATACTCAAATACCATAATTAAATATATCTTCTTATTAATCAATACATCATCCAAAGCTAGATATTACACAAGTGACCCTTTGATTAAGGATCATATTTATCTTTTTTTCTTCTTCTTATTGGCAATTTTCTCTATATTTTTGTTTACTTATCATTATATAAAAATAAATTACTATTTCCTTCATTCATTTCTATTCTTTATTGTAAAATTCTAGAAATTACTACTTCACTTATTTTTAATTTTTATTATGAAATTTATATATCTAAACATTTCTATTTCGACCTTTCATTTCCTCGATAAAGATTAAAAAAATAAGAATAAATAGAGTAGATATCATTTCAAGTAGCACTTTCTGATTCATTCAATTTCATGAATATATTGCGTATTGTTTAAGCTAATTTGGATCGGCAAATGTACTCTTTCAAAAAGACTTATGGGTGAATGATGCAACTTATGAGTAGTTTAAATAATTATATGATTTGAAATATTTTATTTGATTTCTATTATAATTTACTTTGTTTGTATTGTATAAAAATATTGCAGAATTATCAGTGACTACATTTAGACCTCTATTGAAATTATTATTATTATTTTAGATGAATAGCATTTTTCTCGTATGTTTATATTTACCTACTAGTCTCTGAAAACGTGCGTTGTATTTATGTATTATTATTATTATTAATATTATAGCACTTCTATATTATTTTAAAAAGTTAAAATCAAGATTCTTCAAATAATTCAAAAATATGTGTAGATTCTCATCATGTGCAAATTTTTAATGCAATGATCTTTTCTCATAAAAATAACAACCTTATGGGAGTTATTATTAATTACATCACAAGAAAAATGTAGTATATAGAGGAAGACAATTTGGAATAGGAAAATTATAAACATCTTTGTCAGTAAAGCATTATTTGCTTCATGAATTACTGATAAAACAAGAGAGAAAATATAAAAGTAAAAGCCTTGGGTAAATTGTTATATACCTGAATTTGGTTCAATTTAATGGTGTGAGGGTTAAGCATATATTATGATAGCATATTTCAGAATATTAAAAGAATTAAAGAATGACTTTTGATTTTTTTCAACTTTAGACCTGATACGGAGTTCTACCTTGGTAAGTAGACTCTCCCTTCTCGATGTGAGAGTTACATTGGATTTCATTTATAGCTCGCACGGTCTATTGTCGGTTGCTAATTTATCACAAAATGAACTAATTTACTTCAAAAGGGTTTATGAAGCTTTTACTCATGTTTTAAGATGCATTGACCATGTTCATGATTTAAGACTCTTCTTAAATGATTTTACTGTGTTTAGTTTGGTCATGCATTCTATGATTTCGATTATGTCCTCTTATGATCATGTTTCATGTTTTTTTACATTTCCCTCATAGTTAAATTAGTACATTCCATGCATGTACGAATGCATACTTGTGCCTACATTATTAATTTCACTAATGTAGGGCTTGATGATTCCTCTCCCTCCGTTCGTGGCTAGTGAGCACATAGAGATTCGAAGACTTTGTGAGTCCTCATATCCTGAGGTCAATGTCGCCTTTATTGCTTTCTGATGTCTTTTATCCTTTTGGATATTGTATGTGGTGTACGGTTACGTCCCGACCACTCCTTTTGATATAATAGATGGCCTGTCAAGACTATATATGTTAGACTTCCGCTTCATGTTGAAACTCTTTTATTGATATGAAATGATTTACCTTGTCAATTACTATGTGTATATGTATGTCAAGTGACTTGTGTAAGGCCTCTCGGGGTCTTATGTGTCCTATCACGTATAGGGTGTACTTTAGGTCATGATAATATTGCAGATAATAATTTATAAAGGAACAATTATCTAACTAGGTAAAATTTGCAACTTATTTATTGAAAATGGTTATAGTTTAAAAAAATTATAAAAAAGAACAATAATTTAGTTGTATAGCAAATTAATGGTATCCTAAGTTAGTTCCTAATTTAACTCATCTTGAGGCCACGTTTTAAGCACAAAACGAGAACTTTCTCTCTCATTCAATTTTCTTGTCACCCCCCGAGTCTACACCCTGAACATGGCCGGCACTCGAGATTCATCGTTGATCCCTAAGAGAACCCTTGGTCTGGCTCAATACTAAGCGGAAGACTTACTCAACAAAAACAAGAGTTTCAATAGCAATAATTAACTCTAAATCTCAATAATAGATAAACTCATACATGTCTGGAAATACTCAACTTAACATAATGACTCACTTCAAGTCTCAAAACATCATAAAGGAATGAAAGAGGACTCCTCAACTACTATTGTCCATGAAGCCTCTAATAATTATGATAGATATCAGGACAAGACCCACGACATCTTAACAAAATAAAAGGGAGATAAATGTGGAACCCTTTGGAAGCAAGGAGGCTCACAGAAGCTAGCTGGAACGCAAGTGGTATCAACAGAGCGCTTGTTGATGACCCTGAACACCTGTATTTGCATCATGAAGTGATGCAGGCCAAATGGCGTCAGTACATTGAATGTATGAGCATGTAAGAGGAAAACTAAAACATATAAATACAACTAAATTGATAGAAAGGGAAATCATACACACCTCAACTCAACTCAATGTGAAAGCAATGATAATAAGATGCAATATATAAAGCTTTTAAAATTAGTAGATAATACCTCAAAATGTATAAAAATACAATAATAAACTCTTTTACTCTTATTTGAGAGATTCTCTAACTGATAGCCATCACTATGAGCTATGTGATGATACAATGTCTCGCCCACGCTGCCAGAACTGTCATATACCTTGTTGGGGTATAAAACACCTTAACTAAGTGGATCTACTAAGATCTGCCCGAAGGCATTTAGGATTCATCTAAAAAGTATGATTTTGTTCCTATGTTGGCATACATGGTATATGAGGAATGTGAGTTGTCTGAACTCATCTCATATTGGTGCTCAATACTACTCCCAATAATATATACCTCATGCTCATATGTTTAAAAACATAACTCTTCCTCAATTTGAGATAATTACTCAAAAGATCCTCTTAAAAGAGGTGATGGTCAAGACTCATCATATACTCATTTAGACATCAATGTT